CAAAGTGTGAACTACCATTAAATGTATTTCATCTATGATTTTTTAAAATGTATGACTTTGGGCCAGTCTCTTTACCTCTCTAGTCTTAGTTTTCTAATCTGTAAATTGAGACCAGGTCAAGGATCTCAAATCTGTTGAGGCTGGGCTGCTGGACCGTATTTCATCCCCCTCCTTTTGTTCTCTCCCCCAAGTATATTACATAGTCCTTTGTCCCTTTTCCTCAGAGGAATATGTAAGTAGAACACATCCTTATGAAGAGAAACAAAGGTTTAGACACTAGAAGTACTAATAAACGAATGCTATAAACATGAAAACAAACATAAGATTTGTATTTGAGACTATCGATTTAGATGATTTCAAAGATAGAGGCCACTCAATATACAGCAGAAATCAATCAACAAGCATTTATTAAACATCTGTTATGCACAAACACAACAATTAAACAGTCCTTGTCTTCAAAGAAAGTATGTTCAGTCAAGGGAGACAGAAGAGTTTGGGATTTGGAATGAGAAGACCTGTGGGTGTGAATCCCAGCTCTCTAATTACTAGAACTGTAACCCTGGGCAAGTAATTTCCTCTCTCCAGATCTCTACTTCCTCTTGTGGAATTGGAAGGTGTTGGAAGGAATTAGTTGGTCTCTAAGGCTCCTTCTAACCTTTAACATATAATTTTCTTCCCCTCCAAAATGAATGTTCTGTAAGACTGATGCCCACTTGAACCCCCTAGATTTAAGATTCATGATAACCAGCCCCTAGTGCTTCCAACTACAGAGCACAGAACATGGAAACAGATTATAATTAGTTTCATTACAATGTTCTCTGTGCACCTCAGGCCTGACTTACCACCAGGCATGTTGTTCATTGTAGCTGAGGTCTGTAATTATAGATGATGCAATACTGTGAATCACACAAAGGACTCAAGAAAGAGAATATTTACATTTTACAATGGGAATGTCTTCCTACAGATCATAATTCCTACCATATTTTCTTTTGGTCTCCATTAAATTCTAATCCTTGTTAGAATTCCAATTTATAAGGTATGGGGAATTTCTAGCCACTAACAACAGTCAAGAGAGAAAATATATTAACTATTTTATAGTTATAAACATACTATCCTAGTAGAGTAAAAAATATGATTAAGACTCATGAAAATGCAATTTCATACAAAAATATTCAGGGACCTTTCTACTGTGTATATACATACATGTACAGATAAAACAGTGAAATAGTCAAAGAGATAAAAAGCAGATATCCTATAACAAGAGTGGAAAGGCAAGGTAAGATATAGTGACTTTAATGCCATACTTACAAGCTAGACTCACTAACCATATCAGTGACGGAAGCTCCTTTTTTTTCTTTTCTTGATTTTTAAAAAATCAATTTATTTTTAGTTTCCAACATTCACTTCTATAAGATTTTGAATTCCAAATTTTCTCCCCATCTCTCCCTCCCCCTACCCCAAGACTGCATGCAATTTGATATAGGCTTTACATATACATTCATCTTAAACCTATTTTCACATTAGTCACCTTGTAAAGAAGAATTAGAACCTATGGGAGAAACCATCAGAAAGAAGAAACAAAAAAAAATTGTACAGAAGAATTAGAACCTATGGGAGAAACCTTCAGAAAGAAGAAATAAAAAAAAAGAGAGAGAGTACAAATAATATGCTTCCATCTGCATTCAGACTCCATGGTTCTTTTTCTGGATGTGGATAGCGGTTTCCATTATAAGTCTTTTGGAGTTGTCTTTGATCCTTGCATCGCTAAGAAGAGATAAGTCTATCAAAGTTAGTCATCACACCATGTGGCTGTTACTGTGTACAGTGTTCTCCTGGTTCTGCTCACTTCACTCAGCATCAGTTCATATAAGTAGAAGCTCCTATTTTTATGAGTCATATCAAAGTGTGAACTGCCAAGAAATCCAAGGGATTCCTATTTGATGAACATCAAATCAAAGACAGCCATCAATCACAGAAAAAGAGGGAAAAGGAGGTCTGCTCTAGACTACCGTAATAGTCTGGGGTCAATCTTCCTGCTTCAAGTCTTTTCCCACTACAATCCATTCTCCACTTATCAGTCAAACTGATCTTTCGAAAGCATAGGTCTCTGACCAAGACACCCTCTTATTCAATAAATCCAGTGGCTCCCTACCTCCAGGATCAAACATAAAATCCTCTGTTTGGTTTTAAAGCCCTTTATCACCTGGTTCCTCTTACCTTTCCAGTCTTCTTACATCTTACTTCTCCCACATACTCTGCAATGTTTCCTGGCTGTTCCCCACACTATACACTCTGTCTCCTGACTGCATTTTTACTGGCCTCTCCTTCTTCATTTCTGCCTTCTGGTTACCCAGGCTTCCTTCAAGTCTTAGCTACAGTCTCATCTTCTTCAAGAAGATTTTCTCCTTAATCTTAGTATTTTCTCTTTGAGATTATCTCCAATTAATCTGCATCTTATTTGTAAAGAGTTGATGCCATGTTTGTCTGTCTCACTAGACTATGAACATCGTGAGAGCAGGGACTGGTGGTGTTTTTTATTGTTGTTGCTGTTGTTGTTTTTTACCTTTTTTTGTCTCCTCCGTGCATGGCAGACTGAGAGCACTTCAAAGTGTTTGCTTACTGACAGACCTGCTAAAGGGAGAGGAAGGACTCACACGAAGGTTCACAGATTTAGAGTTGGAAGGGAACTTGGATGTCATCCACCACCACTATCCTCCCTTATTACAAACTGAGGCCCAAAGAGAGTAAGTTATTTGCCCAAAATCACACAGATATTAAGTGGTAGAAATGGGTTTAGAAGCCAAGATTTGTGACTATACATCCAGCATTCTTTTTTTTTTTCTAAATTTTTTGCTTTTTGGTGAGGCAATCAGGGTTAAGTGACTTGCTCAGGGTCACACAGCTAGTAATTGTCAAGTGTCTGAGGCGAAATTTGAACTCAGGTCCTCCTGACTCCAAGGCTGGAGCTCTATCCACTGCACCACCTAGTTGCCCCATTCAGCATTCTTTCTACTCTATCACACTATCTCTCTCACAAGGGAACCTTGTTGACAATACATGCTTCATCTGATAGGATGAAAATATTGATAATAATATGCCTGATTGAAAACAAATTTGTGACATGAAAATCTACACATCACTTTTCTTTAGGCACTCTACATTCTGAGCAGGCTATCCTACTTTGCTATTACCCTAACCTGGAACTCAATTTCCTGTCTTTGTGCCTTTGCTCAGGCTGTTTCCCTCCATGCCTGAAATATACCCTCTCTTCACCTGCCTCCTAGAATCTCTAGTTTAGCTCACGTGCCATCTCCCACGGAAAACCTTTTTTAATTTCCTGAGTTTTCAAAATAAGGAAAAGGCAATATAAAAGCCCCAACCTACATCTCAATTATCACTTATATACTCTTCCTAGATATCAAATTCCCAGCAGAACATAATCCCTTTAAGGGAATGGGCTATTTTTTTTTTCCTAGCACTTAGCACAGGTCCTAGGAACACAGCAGGCACTTAATAAATGCTTGTTGTTTTCGTTTGGGTCTCAATTTAGCAGGCTAGAATTTCATAATGTAAGTGATTATTTACCTGTATCATATTATAGATATACTGGCTTTTTTTTTCCTCCTCTTTCAATGTAGAAGTGAGAAAACTTGATATATGCTATATGATTTGCATTCTTCTGCATTTGGAATATGGATCTGCTCACAAAAATCCACTTTAAACTTGGACTTCAAGGTTATTTTCATTGTGCAGAAAGTGTTTCTAGAGTTGGGTTTCCATAACTTAGAGGAATCAATCAATTGATATCATTCAATAAGCATTTATTAAGCACCTACTCTGTGTCAGGTGCTGTGCTAAGCACTGGGAAATCAATATCTCTTTAAAGGTGCCATCTGATTCCAAATTATTCATCTCAGTAAGATGGATGCAGTTTATCATTGTCAGCCTCTCAGAAAAGCTTGCCCTGAGGTACAGTGAAGCCACAAAATGAGGTCACCAACCACAGCTAAAAAGAAACTCAACCACAAGGAGGAAAATACTTTCAAAATCTTAGGGACCAACTCTTCAAATGTCCTTGCCATTGCCTGTAAACTTTTTCCCTTTATCTTTTCACTGATAAGGATGCTGAGCTCTAGGGGTAAAGACAACACTTAAACGTGTGCAAACGTGGCAGGATTCCACAGTGGTGAAGTCACAGAGAGGGGATCTACAGATTTCCTTAATCTCAAATTCCACAGTGAATGGTGGCCCTGGAATCAAACAAGCACTCAAGCAGTCGATAAACATTTATTAAACCCCTAATATAACAGCTATCATTTATATAGCACTTTAGGGTTTCTAGCATTCTAAATTGAGACCCAATCAAATTGCATCTTATTTAACCTCACATCAACCCCGAGTCAGGGGTTTTGGGGTGTGGATGCTACCACTACCCCATTTTACATAAAAGAAAACCGAGGCAGACAGATGTTAAGTGATTTGCCCAAGGTCACACAGCTACTAAGGATCTGAGGCAGGATTTGAACTCAAGTCTTTCTGATTTCAGGTTAATGGTTTTATTTATCCATTTGTATCCCGCACAGGGGATTTAAAAAAAAATCCCTGTCCTCAAGGAGCTTACATTCCTTGAATTGTAAGCCACGGGACCGCCTGGAGGACAAAAAGTTGCTTAGCCGCTGAGTTTGCAAAACTTGTGGGCTTCTTCCCGTGGGGTTTGAAAAACAAAGAGATGACGTAGGTAGAAGTGTTGTGCAAACCTACCGGAGCAAACACCGACACGCTCACTACCCGGCTCCCGGGAGAGCTGTAGGCAGGAGGATGCAAATGTTGAGGGGAGCAGGAATGAAAAGGCGGGGTAGGGAAGGAAGAAAAAAGACAAGGAAGAAAGCTGGAAGCACGGGACAGAGCGCCGGGAGGAAGTCCCGCTAGCAAGGGCATCGAGCCGGGGGGAGGGGCCCGGCCCACGAAGGGCGCGCCCCCCCCCCAAGCCTCGTTCTCACCTCCGCCTTTCAGGGCAGCGCAAGCACAGGAAGTGTAGCCCGTCTCCTATCCCTTTAACGGGCGCCTCTCCCGGGGACGCCCCGGCGTCGGGTCGGCCTCGTGCGCACAGGCGCACGTGAAGTGGGGGGAGGGGAAGACTGAGCCCCACAATTTTCAACGCTCCAACACCTTCCCCTCCCCCCGCCGTGGGCTGACCCGGAAGCGCTCCTACTCTCCTCAGAGGCCCGGCGGAGAAAGACGCGGGCGCGCGCGCACACATACACACACATACACACGCTCGGACGCGGAACCCTCCACCCCCTCCTCCCCCGGTGAACATCAAGCTTTTACGGAGTCAGCCGACCGACTTACTTTCGGCCGCTACCGCCGCCCGCTCCCCCCTCCCCCCCGCCAAAAAAAATTTTTTTTAATTAAAAAAAATGGCAGAGTCTACGGAGGAGGTGGCGGTGCTGGTGCAGCGGGTGGTGAAGGACATCAACAACGCCTTCAAGAGGAATCCGCACATGTGAGTCCGGCGCCGGCGGGGGCCCGAGGGGCCGGGGTCGGAGTCTCTAGTTTGGGTCCGAGCCCCGACTCGGGGGAGGGGACGGATGACGGACGGACGGACGGCTGGCTGGCTGGCTGTCGCTCCCCCTCTCCCATCGCCCGGAGCACGGGCTCGAGTCACACTGCGCTTGGCGCGAGCCCCCGGCCTGAGCCGCGGGCGACCGCTATGTGCCCGGCGGGCGAGACGACGGCATCCTCCCGCCTCGCTGCCCCTCCCCTCCCTCCCCCTTCCTCCTCATCCCCCTCTTCTTCCTTTCTCTTCCTCCTCTTCCTCTCCCTCCTCCTCCAGTGTCAGTCTAGGTCCAAGAAGTTAACTCGACCTTTTGGTTCTGCCTTTCTTTTTGAGAAATGTGAAAGGGTTTCTTTATGTTTGTTCTTATCTTTGTTTTTCTCCCCCTCTCCCTCTATCCCAAACAAGTTGCTTTTTTTTTTTTTTGGCCACTTTGTCTTACGGCTCTGGGAGGGACCTCCACACCATCTAGGCCAATTCCCTCCTTTGACAAATGGGAAAACTGAAACTGGAAGTGAAGGAACTTGCTCAAGGACGCGTAGGTGTAGTAAGCCTCAGAGATGCCATTTGAACCCCGGTCCTCCAACTCCAGAGCCATTGCTCCATCCGGTGCATCTCACTGTCTTCTTACTCTCATTTTACGGATGAAGAAACTGAGACTCAGAGAGGTTAATGGGCCAGCCAGCCCAAAGTCACAGCTACAGGGCCCCTCAAACTCAGATTTTCTGATTTAAAGCCCATTTGTTCTTTCTACTGGATTAGGTGGTTTTAGACTAGAGACCAGCTGCCCAAGAAGGATTCCCTCTACCAGTTACAGACCTGCATCTGCCCTGCGGCGGAGTCTTAGTTGCCCAGGGCACTGAGAAGTTAAGTCACTTGTGCAGGGTCTCCCAGCCATTAAATTCTTCTTGAATACAGGTTCCTGGCTTGAAAGGCCTGTTCCCTGTTCATTATGCCAAGCGTCCCTCATAGGTACGTATTGCCTCTTTAAAAAAAAAAAAAAAAAAACTATTTTAAGATTTTCCAAGCTTTTCATGGGCTACAGTGAAGAGTGGAGAATTTTTTAACTGCCCTGCTATTTAATGAAGGTTCTGGGTTTTTGCCTTTCCGTGTCATTTTACTCTGGTCAAGAGGATTGTAAAACACATAAGAATGGTTTGGGTACCCCATAAAGAAAGAATTTGAGAGGAGTGGGTAGGTATAGGTGCTGATAATCTCAAGTACCTGCTGAACCTGTTAGGTATAGTATGAGGATTGGCATAAAGCAAATCAAACTTTACCACTGCTGTATCTGTGTCATAATCATCACCTATACCATATGGGACTCTCATTTTTATTCCAGCCTCATTACCCACTTAAGTTTGGCACAGCAGAGTAGATTTCCCTTTTTTGGATAAAATGTGGGCTGATCACCTATTTAGATCAAGGTGTAATAGGAATATATCCTGAACAAACTTCCACTGTCATCTAGTCCACACAATTTTATAGATGAGGAAATCAAGTACCAGGGACTTGCCCAAGATCAGAGGTAAGATTTAAACCCAGGTCCTCTTCTTCCAAAGGTAGTGCCCTTTCCCTTCCCACTGTGACATTCTAACTGTGCTCCTTTAGTGTCCACACAGTATCAGGAGTGAGGAGGTCATTCCAGCATGATGGATAGGAATAAACACTAGAAATATAATTTTTAAAAAACGATGCAGACCTTGCCTGCTCTCAAGAGCTGTTATAGTCTGTTTTGGGGTTTAGGATATTTATACAGATAAATTTAAGATAGAGAGTGGGGACAAAGGAGGGATCCAGACAAAGTATCCTCTTTTTCTACTTCTTTTCCCACCATCCCAGCTGTCTTCTGGCTCTTGAAAATTAAAGTAGTCAGACTGATGTCTAGGAGTAACCATAGCAATTACTGAGTCCTAAAATTGGGAGACATTAGACAGACATCCTCAGAAATAACTAAAAAAGAGAAGGGCACATTTTCTCACTATACTAATATATATTTGCTTTGAAGAAATAGCAGGAGGTAAAAGCAAGTCAATCATCCAGCTACCTTTTCAGGTTGCTCTAAATTCTTTACAGAGCTTGTGAGGTGGATTGAGATGACATCACCTGGCAGGGCAAGTCTGGATTTATTAAAACAGCTACAAATCAGTAGATGTAGTGTCCCGTCACCACAACCACCACACACACCCCACACCCCTCCCCCGGAAAATTTTTTTTGTAAAACTTTCTTAATTTGAACCGTACTAGTTCAGACTTACTGATAATTTAGAAGTAACATTAGGAAAATAGACTATTTTAAAATAAATGCTAACTTGTTTGATGCATTCTTAAGGTATAACAATTTAGGTCTATTGTGACTTTGGATTCTTTTAACCAATATTTTATAATAAGTATTATATTTTCATTTATATTATCTCCAGCACTAAACTTTTGATGTAAATTTGGACTTTTCAGTAATTCAAACAGAACTTCTAGATTCTCTTATTTCAAATAAATTCTTTTAAATTTATAAATAAATGTAAATAAAAGGTGAATGCTTTCATTGAAAGCTATGTCATTGTGATTTTTATTACGAAAAATTTTCCATCCTTTATCTTCTGCTTTTGTAATTTTCCTATACCCAGAAAGGTGTCAGTTTTCATTATTGGAATTCTACTGCTCCATTAATTGTGCTGTTTGTATTGTTTAAATATTCTTTCTCTGACAAATTGCTTGTTAAATTTTCCATGTCCAGTGGTTCATCAAGACAGTAGACCTGGCCATAAAGAAAGTCAATTATTTCAGAGAAACCCATCCCTTTTATTTGAAAGGCAAGTCAAAACTTGACCTGCTAAACCATGTTGTCAATTATTAAGTAAGCAGGAGACAGCTCTGAACAAAATTGGATCAGTTATCCCTCTTACATCAAGGGCATTATACTTTTTTTATAAATCAACTTCATAGAATCACCTATGTTCAGGACACAATGCTAGGCCAGAATGAGGCAAAGAAATATAAAATATGGGCCTTCTCAGTGGTATCTGATTCTTCATGACCTGTGGAACGTAGCACATCAATATTGTCCGTGGGGTTTTCTTGGCAAAGATAGCATAGTGGTTTGCCATTTCCTTCTCCATTGGATTAAGGTAGACAGGGTAAGTGATATGCTCAGGATCACACAGCCAGGAAATGTCTGAGACAGGATTTGAACTTGGATCTTACTGACTTCAGGCCCAGCATTCTATCCACTGAAGCACCTAGCTGCCTCTAATCTAGCTAGTGAGATGAGAAAGGCACACTAACAACAGATGTCATATAAGGTAATGTTAGACAAATGGCATAGGCAGTAAGTACTCTTTAAGGCAAGCTTCATGGAAGCAATTAGATGAGCTGGTTCTCAAAGAATAGAAATGATTTGGGAGGTAGAGACTGAGAAAAGGTACATATATGGGAATGTGTAAGGCATCTCTAAAGAAAGTGCATTGGGCAAGGAGTTAGAAAATCTTACTCCTGTTCTAGACTCCAGTGCTCTTAGTATAGTGGACAGAAGCTATAGAACTTGAAGGCAAGAAGACCTGGATTAGCATCTTCTTTCTGACAAATTATGGCGTGATCTTAGACAAACCATATAAATGGGAATTATTGGGGAGTTTTGTGGAAGCCATAGATGACACAGAAGAAGTTTAGAAACTCAGAAATGCATAAAATACATGTGCAGTATTGTTCAGTATCAACATTATATCTTTTAACACCAGAGTAATTCAGACTTCTCTGGTACAAAGAGAGAGCCAAAAATTTTTATACAGATATCCAGATTGTGGAGGTGTCATGCCCCTATAACCCCCTCCCCCAGTGTGGAAGGGATAATTCATCACTTTGAACCTCAGTTTCTTCTCCTGTAAAATAAGTCCAATAGTTACTATAGAATATAATAAATAGGGTTATTTTGTGAATTGAATGAGGTAATATAAAGTTTAGCGTGCTCTATAAGTTTTAGGTATTTATGACGTTGGGCAAATCTCTTAATCTCTTTTTGGGTCTAAATTTCCTCATCCGTAAAATGATGGTGTTTAGTATGGGTAATTTGCTAAGCATCTTCTCCAGGTCAATATCTCAACCTGCCCAAAATACAACTTTCCTTCCAAAAAACCTTTCCTACTGTTGAACTTCTCTATTACTGTCTATTGAGGGTACCACCATCCTCCCAGTCACCCATATTCCTTTCATGGAAGCTCCCTATGGAACATCCTGTGATCTTTGGTTTCTTACTTACTCTCACTGTACATATACAATCTGTTGCCAAGTCTTGTTTCTACCTTCACAGCATATGTTATAAGTCCCCCTTTCTTTACTTAACCGAAGTCTCCAGGTCCTCTTCAAAAAATAACCAACAACAATGTCAGAAAACATTCATTTATTAAGCACTGTTTGTACTACTTGGCTAAGCATTGGGGTTACAATGCAAAGCCAAAACAATTTGTGCCTTCAAAGAATTCACAAGGAAGAGGAAACATGCGAACGACTATATACCAGCAAGATATATACAGGATATATTGGAAATAATGACAGAGAAAAGGTACTATCATTAAAGGGCACTGGGAAAAGCTTCTTGGAAGAGAAGGCATTAGCTGGCCTAAAGGAGGTCAGGGAAGCCAGGTGGCAGAGATGAGGGAGTGAATTCAAGGCATGGGGGACTGCCAGGGAAAATACCTGGAGCAGGAAATGGAGCATCTTGTGTGAGGAATAGTAAGGAGGCCAGTGCCATTGGATCATAGTAAAGTGTGAAGATTAGATAGGTAGAAGTGGGTCAAGGTATAAGAGACTTTAAAAACCAAACAGAGGATCTTATATTTTGATTGTGGAAGGAGTAGGGAGGAACTGGAGTTTATTGAATGGGGGGGGGGGTTGACATGGTCAGACCTACACTTTAGGAAAATCACTTTAATTCTCACCTGATGTAGGCTGTCATT